AAATCCCAAATTATGATTAGTATTTTTTGCCAAAATCCCAAATCCCAAATACTAGTAATTTGGGATTTGGGCAACACATATAATATAAACTAAAAATAACTAATTGAATTCCTTTCTTTTCAGTTCTCAATTCTTCAATTTACAATTAATAAACTTTTTTGTAATTTACAATAATTTTGTATGAATTATTTCTTAGTCTTAGTGACATCTTTAAATTTTCAGTAAATTTATCTTTCTTATAATTTCTATATAAAACTTTGTTATAATTCTTAGTGAATTACTCTTGTCTTTGTGACTAGTATTTGTTATTGTTTTTGTCTTAGTAACTTATATAGTATAATTTTATCTTTATGACATGTAAGGTTGCCTAGTGAAACCTATTTTGCAATTTGGCAAAAGGTAAAACCTATGTTTTTCCAAAATTTTTACTATAATTTAATATAGTTTTGCCAGTTATATGTATTTGTTATAATTTCTATAATTTCAACTTTTGACAAGTTATACTTAACTTATTAATAAATATTTAATAAGGTTTCATCAAAGTTTTATCTTTTACTAATTTTCTGGATTAGCAAAACCTAAAGGTTTCACCTAGCAACCTTAGTAACATGAAACATATCCTTTATAAAAATCTCATCCTCTTAGCTTCTTTCAAGTAAATCTGTAATTACAAAACCTTCATATTTATACTTTCCTTATAGTATAATCCATCCAACAATATCATATTTAGTATAGTTGTTTTAGTTTTAGCTATATATATTTTCCTTGTTTTTAGTTGCTAGTTTATTGAATTCCTTTGAAGGTGAATCTCGGTTAGCACCAGATATAAATTATTATTGATTAAAAATACATTATATTAGGTACTTTAATGGGTTTTCAGAATCACCCAATGAAAATAGTCTTAAGTGTTTTTGTTACCAAAAATTTCATTACTTCAAAGGTTTATTAGCAATAATATATCAAAGAATTTATGTTAGTATATTATTTCAATTTTACAATAATTATTTATTAAGAAAATTTCGTGTAACTATATTTTTACAATCCGATCATGTTTCCTATTTGAACTTAATCGAACACAAAAATTATCACGTTCTGTTATCTTTATAACGTCTATATCGTCTTTTGAAGATATGCATCTACTAGTCAAAGGCAGTTAACCATTCACGGAAATAACTTTATAAACGTTGCTTATATAAATCATGCAAAAATTAATGTATATCATGTTTTGCTATCTTTAATAAATCATATCGCCTTTGAAGGATGAAAAAACAAATGCATCTACTAGTCAAAGGAGGTTTAGCAATTCATAGAAATAACTTTATTATTATTATTTTTTTTTTTTTGAATTAACTAATAATTTTTATCAAAATAGCCCTATTCCATAATTTAATAATTTAAACTGCATTGATATTCATTAAAGTAAAAAAAATTAATATAACTTTATTTTTTGTATTAATTAATAATATTTTTTTTTATCGTTTTCTTATTAAAAATTTTTTTCCTGAGTGATAGATCTATTAATTTAATAAGTATTAATGCAGTTTAAATCATTAAATTATGGAATAGAGCTATTTTGATCGAATTCAGATTGATAAGCTGAAAAGCTTCGTTCAACATTTATACCTGATAAAATTAGACCAATATTTAACTTTCCCCCTCAATTTGAAAATCATAGGGAAATGAAAGAAAGAAAAAAAATAATATTTAATATATGATTTCCAAAAAAATCCGATTAAATTAATTTTTTTTTTTGATGCCGATTAAATTACTTTTCATATGTTTGATAATGTTGATAAAATCTTTAAATTTTCAGAATGAAATAAAAGTGGTAAAGAAAATGAGATCGAAAATCTTTCCATTTTATTAAAGATCGATTTTCAATTCTAAATTGTTATCCCCCACATTCGAATAAAAAAAAAATTAACCATGTAAAATGAAAATCTCGATAGTGAAGTAAATTATTGTGAAACGAACGCAAAAAAGTTTCGTAATAATAATAATTTAGAAATATTTATTGGGTTTCAAATTTCGATAAAAATTCAATATAGATATAATAATTTGGAAATATTTATTATTTGTTTATAATTTGGAAATATTTATTATTTGTTTATAATGAATGTTATGTGTTCATATCATTTTGCAAAGATAAAAGTCTAATGGTTAAATAAATAAATGATAAATAAATAAATAATATTTTTTTTTTATCGTTATCGAAATAATAATAATAATAATAAATTTATACATGCTTATTTTTTCATTTCCATATATGGTATCGAAATAATAGTTATAAAAATTATTTAAATTTCTAAAGAATAGTTTAAATGAATAGTTAAATGAAATAACTTAAATGTCTAAATGATAAATGATAAAATATTAAATAATAATTTAAACAATAGCCTATAGTCTAATTGAACAGTTTAAATGAAACGGCTTAAATGAACAGTTTAAATGAAAAAATCTAAATGAATAGTTTAAATGACGAATATTAAAAAGTTTAAATATCCTAAATAAGGAGTTAAATGTATAAAATGTATAAATGTATATAATAAGAGTGAAAATAAAAGGAAAACAAAAGAACAATCGAATTAAAGAATTGTTAGTAATTTTAATTCTTTCTCGGATTACTAAATTTACTAAATTTCGAAATAAATTAATTGTTTTCTAATTTAGTTTTTATGGGTAGCAATGACTATATTGGATTATCGGAATTCGAATTTTATAAATGTTATTACGGGTTGATTGATTTCCAAATTTATCTACTAAACTATCAATAAATTCAAATTCAATAAATTCAATAACTTTCTTTTAAAATTCTTCATTTATTTTTTTTATTATTTTATATTTTTTTATATAAATTATTATTTTATATATAAATTATTGTTTTATTATATTATTTATAAATCAATCGTCCTAATTAATTATACCTTTCCCTTTTATATAAGTTTTTAATTTAGATTTTACCTTATAAAGTTAGATTCAAAACTTATTATCACAAATATTATGTATATCACAGATATGTTAACGAATTAAATTATCATTATAACCTTTATAATAAAGTTTATGAAAGAACACATTAAATTATATCATCGTTATGTAATTAGGTTTTTTTTTATATGCATAATGATATTTAAGTTCAATTAATAATATTTTTTTATTATTAGAATTCATATTTAAATATTTAAATTACTATAATTTTGATCTAATAATGCGTTAAAGTAAATTTATTACAAAACCAAAACATCACATTATTTACAAGGAACCTAAATTCATAATTATATTCATACATACATTGTTTTTAAAAAATGTCCAATCATGAGTTCAACCGTATCTTAATTAATAAATGTAACATATAAATCAACATTTTCTTGGAAACATTGAATTTTAAATTTTTAAAAATTTATGCTTATTACTTTTTTTTTTTTTTTACCTAGCTTCTTATTAAAAATTCTTCATATTTCTTGGAATATATAATTCATATCTGATGCTAAAAAAAAAAAAAAAAATCCAATTACTTTAATTTCTTCGATTTCTTCTTTAAATCCTTCTTTAAACCCAAATAATTTATTTACATTTTTAATTACAAATTTCTGTTGCACAATTAATATTTGGTCGACAACATTCGTGCATTTCTTTTTTGACATTTCCGTAATATCATTATTTCCCTATCGTATATTTTGTGATGTTTTTCACTTATAGTAACAAATCAAACCAATAGATGCAATCAAAAACCGAAAGTACACCGAGTTATCTTTGGTATTCTCTATTGTAGCCACAAGAAAAAATTCTAATCACCGATACAATTTCCTGATGATTAACACCGAATAAATTAAAGAATTTCTAAAAATATAAAAATATGTTATAAGAATTTATAATAATATTTTCTTTATTTCTTTTTTGCTCACTTTATTTTTCTCTAACCCATACAGCTTTAAATAAAAACCAACTTAAATAACAACAAATACAAATAACAACTAAATAACAACTAATAACAACTTAAAATCATTTAGGTTTTTTTTTTTCTCTTTATAAAATTTTATAATAAAGAAATTCGATATTGCATTATGCATGTTGTTACTATATTTACTATCAATAGGTATTTTTTTTTTAACTGTAGATTTTAAGTTAATATTTATTTATTTATTTGCCGGTTACGGGTAATTAATTTAATAATAATAATGTAATAATGTAAAATATAAATATTGGATAGTTGATAAATATGGTTAGTTGGTAAATAAAATTATCAACTATACACTAATCAAATCGAACAACCACCAAAAAAAAAAAGACCGTTACCACTTAAATCGTTTTTCTCTTTCTTCTCCACACAGCCTTTCTTTCTTTCTTAGTTTGTATTATTTATACAATTACTTTACGCGTGATATATATTAATTACTATTTATTTCTATACTACTATTCTTGGTCGTCCTGCTTCCCCTTACTTTTTTGTTGCTTTTTTTTTTTTATATTTATATTCATTTTTGCCTCATTTTTCCAAAATGAAGCAGGATTTGAAAAAACAAGGTTTAAGCCAGTTAGTCAAACCTGAAAACATTAATAAAAAGAATAAAAAGCCTAACAATATTCAACTGTTATCCTCTTCAAAACCAAAATATAATTTAATTGAAATAACTCCCCTACCTCTTCCTTCTGACTTCCGAACTTCTCTCATTCTTCCTCAACTAAAAAAACGATTTAGTGTTTTACGTCGAGTTGAAACTGTCAACGTAAATAATAATAATAAGACTTCATCCATTTCTCCAAATACCATTAATAAGAATCCTATTTCCATCAATAATTCCACCAAGAATTTAACTTTTGATAATAAAAATAATAACCAAAACAATATGGCTAGAACTATTATTATAGAAAGTAATTCTTCTCCTCCTTTAACGGTAGTAAATAATAATAATAGTAATAGTAATAATAATAATAATAATAATTCTAATAATTATGTGGTGCAAGAAGAGGTTACCCAACCATCGATAAATGCAAATGCCAAATCGGGTGAGTTAAAAAGTTAATTATTTATATTTTTTTTCCATTATTATTCACTAACTCCATTTTCATTTTCATTTTTCATTTTTCATTTTCATTTTCATTAATTTTTTAGAGATAAAAGAAGATGATTCATCATTAATCCCTATCCTAAATTCTTCCTCCCCAATGAATAACAACAATAATAACAATAATAAAACCAACAATAATAACAACAATACTAAAAAATTTTATCAACCTCATTTAAAACCATATGAACTTCCTTCAGCTTCAACTTCACCATCATTTGCCCCACCTTCTTTTTATATAACCACACCTGTACTTAAGAGTAGTTATGATTCAATTTGTTCCAATAACAATAATAACAATAACAATATTTTCAATAACAATATTTCAAATAACAATAATAACAATAACATTATTTTTAATAACAATAATAATAATTACAATAACAATATTTCCAATATTTCCAATAACAATAATAAAGAAGAAATAATACCTTCAGAATCAATTGAATCAATACAAGGTGCAAAAAAGATGAACCATATTTTATCAAATCCTACAAAAGATCGTCCTAACCCTCCCAGAACACGCCCTCCTTCTATACAAAACCTAGCCTCACCAGGTTATAATAGGTGGACGGAACAATTAAATAATGAATCAAGATCGGCTTATTCTTATCCAAGATCAAATAATTTATCTCCAATTATACCTCCTACTCCACTGTCTCCATTGGATAAATTATCGGAGGGTATATTTAATCCTACTTTACAATCAATGATTGTTTTACCTAAGAATGATTCTGGATTACAACAACAACAACAATCTATTAATAATGTAACAGCAGCTTATGAACAATCAACTTCCAAAGAATCGTCATCATCATATACGTCTTCTACGTCGTCTATGTTCTCTGATCGTGATTCAACCTCTTCATCAATAGCCAATTCATTACAACGTATAAAGACTATGAGTAGTAGTAATAGTAGTGGTGGTACTTTTGGATCAAATTTTAGTAATTCTCCACTGAATCGTACAAATACTTTAGATTCGAAACAATTCTCTATTACAGAGGATCAAAATAATGATGATGATGATGAATATGAGACAGGAAATAACATTTCGCAGTCTCAACAAAAGGTTGATCAACAAAAAATTGGTCAGCAAACAATTGGCCAACAAAAAGTTGGTCAACAAAAAATTATTCAACAACAAAAAACTATTCAACAAAAAGTTATTCAACAAAAAGTTACTCAACAAAGAGTTGACCAACAAAAAGTTAGTGAACAAAAAGTTGGTAAACAACAAATTGAGCAACAACGAAATAGTCAACAAGGAATTATTCAGCAACAACAACAAGTTGGTTCTCAAACAACGGATGTGAAACGTTGTACAGTTGCTCCACCAAAACCTCAACCTCCACCATTTTCATTAACTGATACTTTGATAGCTTCTGGTCAAGCTGATGTTGCCAATCAAGTATTGGTCATGAGAAGAGTACAAAAAGCCGAAAATAATGGTAAACAACGATTGCCCTCAAAAATTCCTTTACAAAAATGGTCAAAACAAAAATCCAAAAATCCAAAAATTTCTGGCCCTCAATTGGTTTCCGCTTCATCAAATATTAAAACGGTTCCAATAGTAACCTTAAGAAATGATCGTGATAATAAAAATAAAAAATTTGGTAGAAAATTTTCTATAAGAGAAAATGAAATTGGTTTAGGTAAATCATTTAGAAAGATTAGAGATGTATTTACTAGTGATAGTGAAACCAATAGAACAACTTTGTTTGGAAAGAAACATAAATATGGAGACGTATCACCTTACTCTTCTAGTGAAAACTTACCAAAGAAATTCACTTCTGAAGGAAATTTAAATCAACGATATATCAAAGATAAGAACAAATCAGATTTGTTGAGACAAAAAGAACAAAAAGTGCATAAAGAACTTAAACCAAATAATACCTTAAAACAAGAAGATCAAAAAGATAATCTATTAGATTTATTAAATAACAATAATTATGAGAATCAAGAAAAAAATCTTTCGTCATCAAATGAGATTGAAAATATTGAAAATATTGAAAATGTTGAAAATGTTGATTATATTGTTGATAATGTTGATTATATTGTTGATAATGTTGAATATATTAATGAGAATATTGAAAATATTAATAATATTGAAAATATTGATAATTTTGAGAATATTGATGATGTTGAAAATATTTATAATAATATTGATAATATTTATAATATTGATAATATTGATAATTATGATGATATTGATAATATTGATAATGTTATGGCAGTTAGTTATACTGTTAGTGATTCGGATATTAATGAAAATCCTACAAATCCCAGATCATTACCAAAGAAACAAATGTTAGTAGATCAACAAGTATTATATGATATTGATGCTTTGAAAAGACATGCTGAAATGGTTGCTACATATTCAAGTTTCAAAAAAGACCACCAAAATCAAAATTCACAATTAGAATATGTTAACCCTTTACCAATGTCAGGTGGATTGATATCTGGACCTGATTCTTCTTTACCCTCTATTTCTATAGATGATATATCTCATGATCAACCTACAAATGATTTTCAAGAAGAAGAAGAAGAATATTTAATGAATATGAATATTCAACAAGTTTCTACACCAAAACTTAAAGTTGACATTCCCATGAAATCATCAAACTTTTTACTATCCCCACAAAGTTTATCAATAATGACGGTTTCAGAAAGTCATCCAAATAGTCCTGTATCATATAATTCTATGTCACCAAATAGTGATGCACCACCACTTTCACCAAGAAATCCATTGAGAAATTCAAATAATTTAAATAATTCAAGAGATGAAAAGAATCGATCTCTATTCAATCGAACATTTTCATTAAGACGAAATAATTCTGCTGGAAGTAATAAAGAAGATAGTGAGGAAAAAAGAGATCGAATATCCTCATCACGATTAATGTCAATTTTCAATGGTAATCGTAGTAGAAGAAATAGTAAAACTAATGATAATAACTTTTTACAAGTACCAAATTTACATAATTCACACAATTCAATAACAGAAGATATGATGATGGAGGAGAATAGTAGTTCAAAGAAAGAAAAGAATAAAGTTATACGTCGAACTATAATTATAACGAAACCTTTTCTTCCACCATTACCTGAATCTGAATTATCACAAAAGTTTAATAAGAGTAATAGGGATAGTAATGGATCTTATAATAAAGATCGTATATCAAAACGAAGTAGTTCTAATACTAATATTTCAAATAGATCTCGGGATTTAATTGATGAATTATCAAACATTGTAAATAATTCAAATAATAATCAATTAAGCGTTCCAATGCAAAGATCATCATTATATCGACCACCAACTCCCATTCCATCGGCTAGTGTTCGAGAATCAGTAATGGACCCTCCTTACGGTATACCTATACCTCCAATACCTAAACAACATCGACAAAGTATATCATCTAAACGTACAAGTAAATCAAGTATCTTATCAACGAATTCGATATCAAATAAACACCGAAAATCCACAGGTGGAAAAAGTATTCAAAGTTCATATGGAGAAAGTTTATATGATTATTATACGTATTCAGATCATGAAGGAGATGATGAAGGAGAAGAGGAAAACAAAGATATTAGACGTTCAAAACGTGACACCGATCCAAAACGATTAAGTAATAATTCAATTCGAGACAAATCGTTTGAAGATAGTATTAATGAAGAAGAATTACAACAACCACAACAACGAATGTTGCTAGATCAACATGTTGAAGTATTAGAAATGTCAGATGGTTCATTTGTTTGGCAAGTGGTAAATGGATTACGAGATGAAGACATTCAAGATAGATATAGTTATTATTATAATGGTAATGATGATTATTCTTACGATCAATATTGGACACAAGAAATTTCCAAAGACAATTACGATGATGATTATAATGATGAAGAAGATCAAAGATATAGTTATCTTGATGATAATTATTATTATAATTCTTCTTCTTTAGAAGATGATAGTGCGATACCAAGTCCATTGCATTTACCTGGAGTAATGCCACGTAACAAATCTCATGAAAAACAAATTGATAATAATGATGATGATGATGATAATAATAATAATAATAATAATAATTATGATAATAATTATGAAAATAATGAAAAATTTGTACCAAGAACAAGTGTATATTTTGCTAAAGATGTAACTTTACCTAGATTACTTGAAGAAATGACTCGTGGATTAGGTAATGTAGAATTAGAAAATGAAGGAGAAGAAAGGGAAGGAATCATGACAGTCGAAGAAAAATTGGAACAAGTGATGAAAGCTTTAGGTGTTGATGATCGAGATATAATATATTAAAAAATATTAATCTCTCATTACGATTATTTCATTATTATCATTGTTAATTTCATTATTTATTTATTTTTTCTTCTCAAAAAAAAAATTCCTTTTTTATTCAATTTATTCTGTTGTATAGTTTTTTTTTTTAATTCATATTGTATAATTTATAATTATCATTTTTTTTTATTTCTTTAACTTCTTTGTATAGAACATCAATTTACTATTACGTGTATTACATACATCACACACACAACATATATATATATCTCCCCCAATATACATTATTTATTTATATTAAAAAAAAAGGTTCATATTAGTCATTAGTAGCATATTAGAAAATTATCAATAGACATGGAAAATAGGAATTTTATTTTTAAAAAACCTACAAATCATTCTAAAATATAATAAAATAAAACATAATAAAATTTTTATAAATGTCAAATAACTTTTAATGTAACCGTAAACGGGGGACATGGCCGCGGAGACATGTAAAATACACAATATACGTAAGATTACACATAGATATTATGTAAATATAAATATAACTATAATTAAATGAAATAAAATTTCCAAGATACCAATAAAAAAGAAATAACAAATCAAACGAGTAGTACGAATTTTTCAAGATTTACAAATTTTTAATTTTTATTTATATGATTTATATTTTGTAATATAACAAATCTTCATCTCCTCTTTTAGAAAATAAAAAAAAAAAATTTAGTTCTATTTTAAATTAGAATTATATTTAGTGTAAAAATACCGTACATTGAATTCCGAACGAAACAATTTTGATAATTTGAATTATTGTTTCTAGAAATTCATTTTTTAAATTATTTTTTTTTAAAAAAAAAACTAACTAATAAAAATGGGTAATTAAATAAATTAATTTATTTCCATCGTTTTTGATAATATTGCTGTTGTTGCTGTTGCTGTTGTTGTTGTTGCTGTTGTTGTTGCTGTTGTTGTTGCTGCTGCTGCTGCTGCTGCTGTTGAGGTTGTTGTTGATAACCCCCGCTTTGTTGAGTGTTCCAACGCGGTGGTTGTTGATTTTGCTGTCCTTGTTGTCGCGGTCCAGGACTACCTCTTCCGCCAGGTCCTTCATTTTGTTGTGGCATCCAGTGAGGACGCTGTTGCGGAGGTTGTAATTGCTGTTGTGGCGGTAGGTGTTGTATTTGTGGTAATTGCTGTGGCGGTTGTAAATGCGGTGGCAGTTGCTGTGGCGGCGGATGTAATTGTTGATGTGGTTGATGTGATTGATGTGGAGGTGGCTGTTGTGGTGGTTGTAATTGCTGTGGCGGCGGTCGCAATTGCTGTGGAGGTAATTGTTGTTGTGGCGGTGGCCGCAATTGTTGTAATTGTTGTGGAGGTGGTTGCAATTGCCGTTGTTGTAGTGGTTGTAATTGTCGCTGTTGAGGTAATTGTTGTTGTGGTGGTGGCCGTTGTAATTGTGATTGATTGGGAATTTGAAATAGAGATCTTTGTTGAAATTGTTGTTGTTGTGGAAGTGGTTGGGGACGAGATCCCGTGTTACCGATTCCTGGTTGACCTCTATTAAGACCTGATGGTATATTATTTAAATTTAAGCCCGGTGGTATTTGAGGATTATTCTGTAATAATCCAAGACCAGGTAACTCATCAACTTTATTTTCATTGTTAGATACATAAGAAATATCTGCACCATCAAAAAGTTTTGGTGGAGTAAGAGGTCCTTGTTTTTGATCTTGATTTAAAAATTGTTGTTGCATAAAATCTGGTCTAGGTACTGAATAAGGATTCATAGGAACTGGTAGGAAACCACTCATTAAACCACCATTATTACTAAATGTTAAACCTGGAACGAAATCATCTTCTAAAAAAAATAAATAATAATTTTATGTTAATATGCAAAATTATAAATAATTCAAAGTGAATGAAATTATTACTATTATTATTAACATTTTATAAACGTACCATCTTCACTATCAACATCTTTTAATCCAAGTTCTTCAGCTTTTTGTCTACCAACATGATACTTGTCTTGAACCGTGTCACCAGGTCGAGCCCTTGTCCAAAATCTTGTCGAATGATCATTTGAACCAGAAACTAATATGTGGCCGATGGGATGCCAATCAAGTGACCAAACACTTTGATCATGAGCAAATTCTACAGCCTCCACTAATGAATCTTGCCTAATTGACCAAGAAAAAATCAATCACAATAAATTATAAATGATATATAATTGAATAGAATTGAATAAAGTAATACTTTACCCAACAATCCAATACATCAAACATCCATCTGATCCACCCGTTGCTAATAACCTTTCATGGAACGGATGCCACGATACAGCTGTCGGAACTACAAATGAATTAAATAAATAAAAAAAGAATTTCTATGATAAAATAAAATAAAATAAAATAAACTAGAAATGCTTACAACAAACTTCCTTATTGTGACCACGAAATGTCTGTAAATCTTTCATCATCCTAATATCATATACCTTAACTAATTGATCTCTAGAAGCAGTTGCTAACCAATTTCCATTTTTATTCCATTGTAAACCGTGAATTATATTCTTATGTCCATGACTAAAGAATTTTTTTTTTTTTTAAAAAAAAAGATTAGTAAATTATTCAAATTATTTTATAAAAAAAAAAAAATACCAATTTCAAGACTTACAATGTGTCAACATTCTTTCCAGATTTGGGATCCCAAAATTTAATTAAATTATCTTTCGACCCGGATGCTAAAAGTGATTTATATGGATGCCAATCAACAACTTTAACATCCCATCCATGTCCTAAAAAAGAAATACATTTTTAATTCATTTATATTATAAATAAATGAATGAGGAATTAAAAAACTAACCCGATAAAGCTTTTTCTTCAATTCCTTCGTTAAAATCCCAAATTTTTATAGTTCCATCATCAGAACAAGTTGCAAATTTTGTGTCAGTAGGAGAAAAACTATTATCATTATATAAGAGATTTATTGTAATATTTTATTAAATTATAAATATTATAAATTAGAATCACAATTATAATTATCATAGTATAGAAAATAATAAATTTGTTTTTTTTTAATGTACGCACGATAAATCTCGAATTGCCTCTTTATGACCTTCAAACATCTTCAAATTATTCATGTTGGATTGCCAGTACTTTATAATACCCTTATGATCAGCTGTAACCATCCAATTATCGTTATGAGACCACTTCATCGCTCGTACTGCTGATTCATGAGCCTTATTGACATTAATTGAATAAAATATCGCAAGATCATCAAAGATCAAAAGGGAAAATCGGAAAAATCGAAAAATATGTTGAAAAGTGTAAATACAAAAATTAAAATTTATAGTTTGCCCTTTTGTTTTTTTATAAAAAAAAATGTATTATATTATTTCTCTATTTAAACTTTCATATTGATTTTTATTCAAAATTTAGATAGATTACAAAACTATCGTCAAAAATACTCATACAAAAAAATAAAAATAAAAATAAATACAGATAAATATAATATTTGGTAGTGCCATAAAAATTGGATTATTTTGTAATAAATCCATCTTTTATTTTTATTTTTATTCTTTTTTAAAAAAATTACATAAGAAAAATAGATGACACTTATAATGTTTTATAATCCCAAATTGAAAATATATCATCAAAGAAGAAGAAGAAAACGTAATAAACGAAGAAAAAGAAAAAGAAATTGCTCAAACGAGATAAAAAAAAAAAAAAAGATTGGAAAATACCTGTAATATAGTTTCAAAGTTAAATGTCAATCCATTCCATAATGTAAATTCCCCACTGGACAATCCTGTGATAAGTCGTCTACCTTCGGGTGTCCACTTTAAATATATTATAAAAAGAATAATCGTTAATCAATCGTGAATTACTAATAATCATTAATAAGTTACTTACCCGAACAACGTTAACAGGATATCGATTCTTGTTAGTTGAAGTATGTACATATTTAGTAGCAACTGCATTAACTGGATTATGTAAGTATGCAGAAGGTGGTAAAAGCTGAAGAATTATTTTAAATGAAATTAATTAAATTTTTCTTTTTTTTTTCAAAAAAAAAAAAATAATAAGATAAATCAATAAAATTCGATTTACATCTATAATAAAGTTTGGTTTAGGTCGCAAAAATTTAGTATCTCTATGATCTTTCATCCAAACACAATCCTATTCAAGAGTTATTAAATAAAAATTAATTTAAAATCAATAAAATTTAAAACATATCTTCAAAAAAACAAAAAAAAAAATTTAAAACTTGCCTGTAAAAATTTCCCTATTGAACAGTTAAAATCTACTGTCCTTCTTTGTATTGCTTTTCTCATTCTTTTACCATCAAAAACAGCTCGTTGTGCGTTACTATTGTTATTATAACCTGCTCCATGCCGAGTTCCATACGCTTTCCTAATAGGATATCCTCCCCCACCATTCCTATTATCATTTTGTATAGTATTTGTTTGTCCAACTCCAGAAACATTCCCTGATAAAGGTATTGTAACAGGTCCAGAACCATTAACGATATTGCCATTTTCGTTTACGCTGCCTACTTCAACTTCCATAGCTTCTCCTTCTACTAATGCTGGAGGTCCCATTTATGAAAGATAGATATATGTGTATATGTGTACATTTATACGTATATTGACATTGTATATTGTCTATATATATGTTGCTTTGCGTAACGATTTCACGTGAGATCCGGCATCATCTCATAGAAAAACAGCAAGGGTTAAGACCAACTAAACTCCTTGGGTAGGAATTATTTTGAGAAAAAGTTTCAAAGTTTAATTAATTTAAAAGAACATATATATATATATATATGATATGGTTATTAATATATTAATTGTCTAATTAACCAATGATTAAATATTTTTTTTTTAAAATATTTAACCAATACAAATTTTTAATATTTTGAGGTTTTTTACTTTGCTCTTAATTTTAAAATCACATGAGAATACTTTTTAAATAAATCCTAAAATAAATAGGAATAAAAAGAATTGAGAGAATCACAAAGTTTATAATTTCTATAAATTCTTAGAAATCTTGGTAAATAGCAAATAATCATCAATGAATATTAAAATCAAGTCTTTTTTTTTTTTGTATTTGATACATTTAGTTGATAAATGGTTAATATGATCATCAAAAAGCTGTTATAATAGAAATTTTTATTTATATATCAGCCAAATCCTCAGAAATTTCTAATTCTAACTGCTTTTCGAGTTCTTCTAACTCTTCATATAACCTAAATTGCTCAACGGTAGGAAGGTGATTTTCATTTGAAACTTTCGTAACTTTCTTCAATTGTTGCATTTCAATCGCTGTTTGATTTAAAAGAAAGGTCCAAATATTTAATGTTCAATACTTACTTTTTTTTTTAAAAAAAAAAAATAAATAAATAAATAATCAATCAATAATGGTGATAATTTACTTGGTACTCCTGATTCCTTATTCATTATAGATGTAGTCATGCGTCTAGTCATTGAGGATGGAATTCGTTGTATAGGTTTAATCATTTGAGTTGTTTCAAGCATTGTATCGCGTATGGCTAAAGATGTGGCAGCTAAAGATTTTCTAATCTCATTTTTTTTATTAGAAGTGCTACGCATAACTAAAGGTGCGATCGATAATGATTTTCTAATGTTATTATTATTATTATTATTATTATTATTTGCTGATAAATCTTGTTGCTGCATCTTCAAAGGTCTGGAAGCAAATGATTGATTGATATTATTGTTATATGATTGATTGATATTATTGTTATTAAGCTTGATCTTCGGAATTTCACGTTTCAAAGGTATATTCGATTCACGAAAAGTAGATAATCTTGAATTTGATAACTATTAATCAGGGATTGTATTAATTATCTTAAATCATGAAAAAAAAAGGTGATTAATATTTTCTGAATTTTACCCACTGTATTGCCAATCATTGTTCTCCGAACGTCATTTTTTTTATTAGAAGTGCTACGCAAAAGTGAAGGTGCGATCGCTAATGATTTTCTAATGTTATTATTATTATTATTATTTGCTGATAAATCTTGTTGCTGTATCTTCAAAGGTCTGGAAGTAAATGATTGATTGATATTATTGTTATTAAGCTTGATCATCGGAATTTCACGTTTCAAAGGTATATTCGATTCACGAAGAGTAGACGATCTTGGATTTGATAACTATTAATCAAGGATGGTTTGAATTATCTTAAATCAGGAAAAAAAAGGTGATTAATATTTTCTGAATTTTACCCACTGTATTGCCAATCATTGTTCTCCGAACGTCATTTTTTTTATTAGAAGTGTTACGCAAAACTGAAGGTGCAATCGCTAAGGATTTTCTAATGTTATTATTATTATTATTATTATTATTTTTTTTTTTTTTATTATTATTTTTTGCCAATAAATCTTTCTGCATCATCGAAGATCTAGACGCAAATGATTGATTGATCTTATTGACGTTAAGCTTGATCTTCGGAATTTCTCGTTTCAAAGGTATATTCGATTCACGGAGAGTAGACAATCTTGAATTTGATAACTATTAATTAAGAGTTGTATTGATTATCTTAAATCATGAAAAATAAAAGTGATTAGTATTTCCTGAATTTTACCCACTGTATTACCACCCATTGTTCTCCGATTTTCTTTTTTCAGATTATTATTGCGAGGTACACGCAATGCACCAGTATAAAGAGATGTTCTTGAATCACGAGGCTTCTTTAATAAATTATTTAAGTCGATTGATTGGTCAATAGATTGGTCAATAGATTAGTCAATAGATTGTATATAAAGAAAAAACTTTCATATTACTACAATGCTACCTCAACGCGATAAGAACGTGTAATTCCGGACCTCAACGTTTGCGATCTTTTTCTGTCAGCATCATTAGATGATTTACTTGACAAGATTTCTTCAAGTGATGCAGGGTTAGGTTTGAAACTTTCTTGAATGTCTCTAAGAGACATGGTTCGAACGCGAATGGTACGTGACGTTGAAGCATTGGTGGCTTTTCCAACTGTTTTGGCACGAGCCGATCCAGTTTTTAACGTTAGTTTATTACGACTCATTGCAATGGTCCTAGATCTGCAAAGTTATCAATAAATAACATTAATAATATTGATAAATACAGTAGAACAAAAAATATTAAAGATGTTGTTTATACTGTATATTCTGTATATGAAACTTGATAAATATTATTACATCACACTAAAACATTAAAACGCGTTTAATGATTGGCGCTACTTTATAGAAATTTCACCCCACGTGCTAAGTGCATGGGTTAGGTTATCAGGGGCGCAAAGATAGATCTATAGTTATTTTTTTTTGATATATCAAATATTCATGTGACAAAATAATTATCTTTTTGATGCATCTATAAATAAACAATTAAATGCATATCAAAAAAATAATCACTTTTTTTCACGCGTATCTTGATATATCAAAAAATAACCATAAGTCTATCAAAAATGAAACCTTTGCATCAGGGCTTGATGTCAACCTGAAAATAGAAGTTGTATAAAATTTGTAGCTATTACTGCAACCAATAATGAATAATGATAATATACCTGAGGAGTTGACTGAACTTGAGACAAATATCTCAAGTGATAGCTCCCAAGAAGAAGAGGAAGTAAACCAGAATGAAACTTTATGGACAGATGCAACCGTAACCACTGATTCTCATCGAGTTTATCGATCCTATTCAAATGCACCAATTGTGCATGATGAATTATTTGAGTAAAAAATCGTGCAAATTTATTGATTTTTTAGCTATCAGTGAATTTTATAAAATGTATTACCAGTAATAACCCCTACCTTTTCGTGGGATGATCATCAAATATGCCATATTTGATGCGTTTATTTTTTTTTTTAAGTACAAATTTTACTTCCTCGGAATATGATTTTTTTTCTTAGCGTGAAGATTACTATAATGTCCAATATCTTTGAAAAGAGCGGATCTGGTTACTTTATTCAAACTTTGATATGCGATTAGGATCCATTATTTGGAAAATACCGTATCAATTGAACTAGATAAAGCAACAAGAAAATTTAATGGACAAGTCGAATGCTATATAGTAAACGGGATCGAAAGCGAACAGGAGAATGCGAAATATCTAAAAAAAAAAACAAAAATATATTGGCTGTAGAAACCAGTGGGAACTGACGTCTTCTGCACGATACTCCTGCTACAATTCCCGCAATTATGTATAATTTCTAACTACTTTTTTAGTCTGATATACTAGACTTATTATATAATTATAGGTGTATGTTTAAAAAATGATTCAACAATAGGATTAATACTTTGTGCCTTGTAACCATGATTCTTGTATTAAAGAAGGAGGTAATTGATTAATAGGATTCGTATATTCTTTACGGAATGAAATTAAATATAGAATTCTAAAAACAAAAAAAAAAAATACATATACTTTATCCATTTTATAAATATTATATAGAATTCTAAAAATATATGAGGGAAATAAAGAATTAAATAATAGACATAATATTTATTGCGTCATTTAATAATTTATTAACCATTTTAATTTGTTCAGAAGAATTAAATAATTTGTCTGTGTTGCTTATCTACAAAATTATCACATTTTTCTGTAATAACTAAAACTGATCTATTCTATATCATATAATCTTAACAGACCTTACGAAGCAAAAAAACTTTTTTCCTTAACTTGTAATTCATATGGACTATTTTTTATCCAACGCTTTACTAATTGCAACTGCGTCTTTTTATTAAAATACAAGCGAAATATCCCAACTGAATACGTGTAAAGGAATAAATACGTCCATCATTTGTTTGTACCCCCAATTATGAAATGTATGACCAGTAACCTCAAGAATTCGATTGCTCCTTGTGATGTCAGATCCAAAACCATACGCGAAGGACTTATAGTAATTGTCTAGAGGTATGAAAATTGTCTTCTTCTTAAGTTCACCAGACATTCTTATGGAGAAGGATAATCCAAATTCGTCAGTCGGATAACTCATATGACTTTCTTTAAACACGACAATTTCATACCCATATTCCAGAACCATGTTTCAACTATCCAATTACGTTTGATGGCAGTTTCTACTATTGGTTCAAAATCACTACCTCCAGAGATTATCGCCAATGTACTAGGATTTTTAGTGAAAATTATTTCATCAATAGCATGCCCTAGTGTTATATTATCTTTCTTTTCACGATTTTCAAAGTTTCGATCAAATATCATTACACTGTTCCCCTGCTCCCGAACATGCCTCCAAAGTGAATCATCAGGTGGTGGACGTAACCCAACAATTACCGGATCATCACCCAGTTTACGATCGTCTTGGATCGTTGCAAGGAGGTGACCATGATCAATACGAAACTGGTTAAAGCATAGGGAATCTCTTTTTTTGTCAAATGTACTCAGATTCTTGAGTTCGGCAACTGCATATTTTCCTTCAATTAAAACATTAGAATTATCAACGAATACGTAAACGAGTTGGTCTTTATTAAAGGGGGAGTTTGGTACAAAGAAGTATTTCGCTGTGATTTTTCGTTAGTCGTGATAGTAGATTTATTTGAGTGTGGTATTACATATAAATCGGAGCAGGAATAGAAACTTGAGTAGAACGATTATCAATTTTGATGCCGTGTCTGATACAATGGATTTATTATTTTCTCTACATTTTCTTGCTTTATCTCATTTGCTTTTGTTCAACAAATCGACTGACTTGCTTTTAAGAATGTAAGTCGTTGAATAGAACTTATATTTTTGTCTTACGTCCTGAAAAAGCGCTGATAAATGGAACAGCATTAATTGACTTTATCCTTTGACGAAAAAACGAAACTAACATTTTTTATGAATCATGAGCTAATTGATTATTTGATTCCACTGAAAATATAAAATTAGCCGCGCAAAATTTGGCTACTTTATATATAATGCATAAAACAACGCAATTTTAGCTAAACAAAAAGAAAATTTTTGTTGGTATAATTTTCAAAAGAATTCGAAGATAAGGTTAAAGAAATTACAGCTGATGGAATGGAAAAGTAAAGGACCAAACTGTAAGAAAAATAATTATATCCAGAAATCAAACTTTATTTACCTAGTATTACAGAAATAAATTTGTATAAAAAGACTCAAATAGATATATTCGAAAATCAGAATAGACAATTATATAAAGACAACGCATAAAATAAAAAATAAATTGATTTTTTGACTATTAATCACTACAACATATGAAAAATAATAAAAGTAAAGGAGGAATTCTTCGATGTATAAAATAAAAATAGATTAATTTTTTTTTTGATTATTAATATGAAGGCAAAGTGAAAGGAAATTAGATGGCCTTTTTTTATATGATTTTAAGGAAACTCGGGTTAATTCGTGTAACTATTTTTTTTTTTGATTATTAAAATAAAAAAATAATAATAACTTTAAAAAATGCTATCACGTGTGGGAACGAGACAATTTCTAAAGCTGCCCTTTGAAACGATATCCGTTTAATTATGGTTGGCTTTTAGAATGTATGTATAAAAATTTCTCTCATTTTTTTTTAATAACATTAGTATTTATGTTTAAATATAAAATAATCTTTAATGATTTTTTTTTAATTAAAAAAATAGAATAAAAATTATGACTTTACAAGTTTGGTCACATTACAATTTTTCATTAATTCATTTTGCTTGTCCTTTACGCAATTATTTCTATAATTTATTTACTTGTTTATTTAAATTAATTAGACGGTATTCTCTCATTTTTTATTTTATTATAATACTTATGAGAAATCTTAAACTATACCTTGGGGTATAGAACTCTTACCCTATTCACCATGTGTCACAAAATATCCTGGACACAATTTTTTTTTACCATACTTGTCACAACATTTGTCACCTTCTCAAACTCCCATGTGAAATTTTTCCACCCTTTCAAAATTATGGATCAATCAAATTCAGAGGGGATATAAAGTACAGGAAAAGAATCTACATATATCCAGGGAAAGGTTAAAGGGTTCTCATGTTTTTTATTAAAATCTATATCTCTCACATGAAAATAATACAATTTAATTAATTAACTAAAAAAAAATAATAATACAATAATAGAATATTAATATACAAAAAAATAATTAATTATAATTGAATTTCTAAAATACATAATAAATAAATAATATATACATAAAATAATTTACAAACCTAAACCTAATATTTCTGGTTTTTTACTAACTCTTTCAACTTTTGCATTTCTCATATGATATACTTTTCTTATTTCTTTAAAATGTTTTAAAAATTGATCACATTCTAAATCACCCATTAAAAATGATGAAGCCATTTGTTCTGATAATTCATCAGATTGATGAACTTCAGATTTGAGTTTTGCCAAAAGAACAGAAGAAGAAAATCTCTGTAAATTTGAATTTATAAATATAAAAAATTTAGTTACATAGAATTTTTTTTTTTTTACAAAAATATATATATATATATATATATTTATATTTAAATTTAATTAACCTGTAGTGTTTCATGTTGAACTTTATTTTTTTCTTGTAAAGTGGAATAAAGTTCTTTAAGTTCTTTTTCTTTTGCTTCCACCTTTTGTTGCAATTGGATTAATTCTTGTTCTTGTGACAAAGTTTTTTCTTTTTCAATTTAAAAAAATTTTTTTTATAATATTAATGTTAATAATATTAAAAATATCAATAATGTTAAAATAATCATAATATAATTATCTTAAATATTTTTACCTGCATGTACTTTATTATTTAACAACACTTCATTCTGTAATGCATTCATTCCCCTTAATGGTTCCACAGTTTCTAGGAATGATTCAAAAACTATATCATTGTTAAGGAGGTCTTCTAATTCTTCTTTACTTTTTATATGATCCAAAAAAAAAAAATAAAAAAAATAAGTTATATTAATATTTAATAACTTGTTATTGAATATTAATAATTTTGTGAATGTAAAGTGATCTTATAAAATACTTACTTACCTTTTTGTAAGTAAAACAGGATATTCTTCTGATATGGCATTTTGTTTTGGTGTTAAAGAAGTTTTAGGTAAAGGTGGAAGTGGTGGTGGTGTTCTAGATCGATTGAAATCATTAGAAAAGGTAAAATAAGATTCATAATTAATAAATTCGATAATTTAAATATTTTGTTCATGAGAAAAGATCATGAATACATACGATGACATTTTTTTTCTTTATGTTGTGTTGTTTACTAGCCCAAGAATTTTTTTTCACCCTTTATTACGTAAATCGTTACACAGCACATTATAATGTTTTAAAAAAATGGTTTAATTGATTTAATTAAATTATTTTATTTTATTTATTAAAAAATATATCACAATAATGTACATAATGTTAAAAAATACAAAAAATTATATATATATATATATGAATACAGGAATGGAAAAAAAATAGATTACTTTTTAAATTAAATCAACACCAAACAATTGTAAGTTCATTACTGAACAAACTTAATACTTTTCCCAAATCCCTACGTTTGATAGTTTCACGAAAGAGTATTTCTTCCACGTGATGTTTACCATTGAAATATTTGATCAACCTTTAATAATGTAATATTAAACGGTAAGAATTGGTCTTAAACAAATAAAATATATTGAATATTGTAGTAAATAAATTTAATTTTACCTTTTAAACATGACTTTAAATTCATTAGTTTGATCTTTACTTCGACTTTCCACAAATTTATTCAACCATAACCTTTCGACGTCTGATGCTTTATCATAAGGCGAAATTAAAGAAGTATCCATTACACCATTGTTAGTATCTACATTTGAAGGATGTTCTTCACCCATCTTAATATGTTGTGGTATCATGAAGAATATATATGCATGTAATTGTATGACAAGATCTTTTCTTAACAAATAAGTCATGGCCTCGAGATACATAGTACGATGATCTTTGAAAACATCAGTACTAATAAAATATGGTCTAGGAGTAGAAAGTGAGGCAAGAATAGTAACAAGATCAAGAGCCTCTGGGAAATGTTGATTGAAATATTCAATATGAGTTTGTAAACTTAATGAAAATAATAATAATAATAAATAATAATAATAATGAATAATAATATAAAAATTATAAATTAGATTAATAAAATTAATTAATTAATTAATTAAATTCAATTAAACGAACAAAATAATATAAATAATATGTAAATCTCTTACGAATTCATATCTGCTGTAGGTGAAACGACGTACGTGTTTCGTACACTAATTACATCGATAATCTTTGCTTTTCTCCAATAAATTAAGTGAGCAGCAATTCTGAATATTTGAGCCAGAGAACAATCCAACACTGAACATAAATCTGCTAAACTAAAAAAATATCAAATTTTTAATTATTATATTTAAATCATAACAATATATATATATATATTTATTTATTTTATTTATTTATTTATTATCACATAACTTAAATTACGTTTCTTTACTTACATACCGCTGTGTAGGTGTCAATATTTGTACCAACTGAACGAGTGTTGGATTTGCATCTAATGGAATATTCTTTAAAATCTCTTCTGGATCTTCAAGTAATAATAAAGTATGATATGGAGCTATTACTGGATAATGCGCATATTCATAACCGGCCACATCATTTTTAGGAGTAAAAAACATAGTAGGAGAGAGTGGAGGAATTTGCAAAGAAAGGTCAATATAATCATTGACCAATACATGAGCTATACTATCAGTTGATATTGAATCATAAACTTGACGAATAGTATTAGCTAATGTACTTTTCTCCAATATAAGTTCCATTAATTCATCCATAGAAGTTTTTCCTAATTATTAAAAATTACTTTAAGCGTATTTGTTATATTTGTTGTATATAAAACATATATAAACACATATATATATATATATATATTTTTACCCATATTTTCTCTTAAAGATAAAATTAAGTCAGCTTCTTTCCTAACATAATTACTTCGTCGTTGTTCGTATTCCAAAGCTGCAGTTAATTTCGTAATAATATGCTTATAAATATTATCGACCTGTCTTTCAAGTTCCAATTCAGGGGGTTCGAGAACGAAAACGAGATGGAAAAAAGTCAAATTTTGTCCTGAAATATCCTTATTTAATGATTTATTATTATTATCATTATTAAAATTCATTGAATGTTCATGTGACTCTTCGTCTTCGTCAAAATTTGTAGGATTATCTAATTCCTCCCTTTGCTTTGTATCCATACATGTATTTTGTCTTTCAAGAAATACTGGTTGTCCAACAAGGGTCAAATTATCAATCGAAAGTTGAAATTTAGAACTGTTGGTTTTAGGACAAAGAATGTTTGCAAGAATTATTTTTTCAAATCCGAACAATTTATTAAAAGAATCCTTAGGTTCAATGTCTTTTCCATTACTATCGCCTGCTGATTTCAAATCTTCTATAGTATCATGAAGACCTGATTTATGTGAATTTAATTTAAATGAATGTGATTTAAAAGAACTGTTATCTATCTCATTTGGCCAAGTCATAACATCATTTTCAATCAAATCTCCGAATTCCTCATCAGAATCATCGAATTTTCGAGCTAATTCATCAAATTCGCCGTGTCTCTTCGGAATATTTGGGTAATGAAAAACAAATTGAGGCCTAGTATATGAAGAGTTTGTTAAAAGAAGTATTGCAACCAGTGATATTCCCATTTTTTTTACATAAAAAATATTTTTGCAGTAAAAAAAAACCAAAATTCTAATAGTAGCACAAGAATTGGGATCAAAAAAACTTAATTTCACTGACACGGTTTTACACATCTTTTAAATTTTACAATTTTTACAATTTTTACAATTTTTGCAATGAGCCTAAATCCTTTACAAGGAATGGGCGAATCACCTCATTCAGCTCAAACTTATAATTCACTGAGTACTTCCTCAACTTCATCAAATTCTTCATTCCCCCACCAAACTCCAATAAGTACAAGTTTACCTTCCTTTTCTTCTTCAGGTGCCAATTATATTGCACCACTTACTCAAACAAGTGGAACAACAAATATTCAAACAACTGAAGGAAGTGGAACGTGGTCTTCTTCATCTCAACAACAACGTCAGGCAACTCAGCATGCTCAAATTGCCTCTACTTATCGTACCCCACCTTCTTTTTCAAGTCGTAATGGTTTTGCTTCCTCAAGTTCTTCAGCCGCCTCTTCTATTATGAATATAACTTCACCTTCCTCTTTGATCCCGCTGACACCATTTATGGAACGATCAAATTCCACATCCACCCTATATTCGGTTTCTTCTCCTGTTGGACCCTTTCATGAGAAATCCTTATCTACTGGTTCTATTACAGTTAATTTAAAAGATAATACAAGTTCAAATCAAACGCTTAGTAATAATAATAATAATAATAATAATAATAATAATAATAATAATAATAGTAATAATAATAATAATAATAATATATTATTATCACGGCCAGTACATGATATTATTGAAAAAGAAAAAGAACATGAACATGATAAATATGATAAATGGGGATTATTAATAAAAAAAATTTTACCATTATTTAATGGTGAAGGATTAAAGGCATGTATTGAAGATTTGAATGAATTGGTAAGGTAAAAATCAATTGATTAATTAAAAAAAAATTCGAATTATTATTATATTATTTTTTCAATTTTCAATTTTTTTTTATTTTATCATTTTATTTTTTGATAATAATAAACTTTTTAGGAGTTGCATAAAAGAACGTTCATTAAAATCGATATATGATGATATTAATGTTCTCTTATTAAAAGGGATGTCAACAATAAATGGAAAATTACGAGGAGTTCCTGATGAAAAACTTGTTTCTCGATTAGTTGAATTATGGTCATTTTATTTTGGAACGGTGATCCCTTATTTTGAAGGGGTTTTCCTTCCATTACAAATTCAAGTATCATCACAACATCAAAGAGATAGAGATAATATGAATGTAAGGCATTTAGTATTAATGAGTTTTAGAGATCACGTAATATTACCAATAGGCGAAAGAGTGGAAGGTAAAATTAAATTATTATATAATTATTATTATTATTATTATTATTATTATTATTATTATTAACATAAATTATTTTTATTATTATTTTTTTTTTTATCTTAGATGCATTTAATAAATTATTTCATGATTTTGATTCCGGAATTCCTGTAACTGATACAGCAGCTCGAATGTTACAAATGTCATATATTTTATCATCTATTCTTTCTGATGATGATAAACAAAAAGATATGGATAGAATTTTAGGAAAATTAAAAAATAATTGGAAATTATTTATGCGACGTAGAGATAGAAGAGGTTTTGTAGGAATGTCACCATCAAATTCTAATTCATCAACAACTTCGCAACAATCAACAACAACAACAACAAAAATAACAACAACATTTCCAGTAGATTATTTTAATATGGGTAACATTGTTACGACACCAACAACGACAACTAATTCCATGACGAATGGAATATCTGCTACTACAAGTCCTGCATTGTAAATATTTATATGTTATGTTTATATGTTATATTATGTAAAGAAATAAATTATTTTCGATTTGAGCATCACATAAATGTGGTGTAACGGAATCCTTTTTTTATTGCTATTATCGTGAAATTTTTTTTATCGTACATTTTAACCTCTCCTCTTATAGAAAATTTTTATTTCATTAAGCAATTTACCTTTTTGAATTCCTGAATTGATATTATTCGAGGTTTATAAATAATTTATTTAAATATTACCAAAGAATCTTCTAACATAAAGAATCATTAGAAAAGAAAAAAAGATGAAAAAGTAATCGTCTATTCTCTGTTCTAAACTTTAATGAAAATATTTTAAATATTTTGGTAAAAAAAAAAAAATTTTTTTTTTTTTTTGACACTAATTAATTAATAAATAAATTAAATAAATTAGCTATCCGTCCGTAAAAGAGAGTGCATTAAATTTAAATAAGATTTGAATAATCGTTAATAAAAAGTCTAAAGAGTTGAAAAATGATATTATACATTATAATAACGGAATTAATGAAATCTAAATTTTAAACAAACGCCAAGATATCTGTGAATGTTTTTTTTTTTTTTTTAATCAATAAAGTTCATTGCGGGCATGACTCCGTTGAAAATAAAAAAAAAATATAAAATTTATAAAATTTAGACGACTCTAAGTATCTTCCTTGGTCTTCGCCCAAATCTTTCGTTCTCCCTAGCTTGATGTCTTTGAATTTCTAATTGATCCTGTTCCGCCGACTCTAAAACTTCTGCTAAACCTTGAACAAGTCTATTTTTTACCATTTCATCTTCACGTCTCAATTGTCCCGCTAATTTACCACCTCTACGAACATTTGAATGTGACACCTCCAGTCTTTCAAATACTTGAGTTAAGCATTGTTCTAAATAATTTTTCAAATAAACCGTCAAATTAAGTGCGTATTCATCACCTTTAAATTTAATCCAATCATCAACAACAAGATTAAGAGTATCATTTTCTCTCTTAGTTTCAACGGCTCCTCCGAATAAAATTACTGATAATGGATCGACCCGAGTAGTTCCACGAAGAAATATCGATGATCCAGTAGCCTTAACCTTCTCAGAGAACGCATAAAGTGTACCTATTGGACTATCTAAATTTGATGATAACTTAACAGCTTTTCTACTATTCACAGATGCAGGATGTATCAAAGTAACAGGATCCTGTCTTGTTCTAAGTGCTTGTTTAGTAGCTTTAACGGATAAGTTCGGATAAACACCTGCACAAATTAGAGCACGAATCAATGGTACACAATTAGAATTAACATTATATTCAGGAGGTCCCAATGTATGAGTATCATAAGTTGATCCTCGTTTTTGATAAAATGATGGTACAACTCCAGAACGTTGTAAAAGATTTAACAATTGAACTTTAATCTGATCAATTGTTTTCATATCTATCCTACTTAAAAAGTTTTCCATACAAAAATCGGTGACATCTTTATATTTTTCATTAGCTTGAACTTCACTCCATCTTATGAATGCATTTAAAACCGTCATATGATCAGAACACATTCCTTGAGACCATTGAAATCGAATTTCGTCAGCCTTTGCTTTTGCGTATGGAGGGGAATGGAATGGACTCTTTGTCCCCATTGATGCGGCAATTGTTAAAACCGGATCTAGGCATTGGAAAATAGCACCCAGTAATACCATTTTACCAAAACCTGGTTCCATTGGAAGTGTAGCTAAAATCTTCCCTAATGGTGTCAACTCTTCATCATTATCTAGTGCTTGGAGTGATTTTAAGTTCTCTAGAGCAATTTGAACACTAGATGGATCTGGAGGTTGAATGGCCTGTGAAAGTACATCTCCAATTGAAGTTGAAAACCGAAGAGCTTTAATATGTAAACAAATTTCTTGTAAATCCGAACGCATAATCTCTGGAGTCGCATAAGGTTTAAGATTCTCATATCTATCACGTGACATCATCGAATAATATTCCCCTTCACGAACACGACCTGCTCTACCTGATCGTTGTCGAGCATTTGAAGTACTTATCCATGTAGTGGTTAAGCTTGTCATTCTTCTTGATTGATCATAACGATTTTCCTTAACTTTTCCTGAATCAATCACATAAACCACATCTTTAATAGTGATTGAAGTTTCCGCAATGTTTGTGGCTAAAATAATCTTACGCATTGTGGGATTTGGAAGTGGGTCGAATACTTCTTGTTGAGATAATGAAGGAAGTGATGAATGAAGTATATGTAATTTAAATCGTGTTTCATCGGTGAAATCGATCCCAAGCGGATATGGCGGAGTAGTAAGGAAGCGGTTGACATAATTAATATCATCTAATCCAGATAAGAAAACTAGGATTGCACCATCATTAGTTGTACGAATTATATGAGCGATGACTAATGCAATTAAACTATAAGGAATTTCGGCATCTTCTTTTTCTATATCTATTAATGACTTTTGTTTACGCATATTTGTGTTTGTGTTTTCATTTGCATTTGTTGTTGATGGTACAAGAGTTACATTGTCGATCTTATTTTCGATATCATTATTATCATTACTCGTTGTAAATTCTATTGCAGTTGATTCTGATGATTCTGATAATTCAGGTTCTGGAACATATTTAAATTCACGTTCAACATATTTTATAGTTTCCTTTTGGTTAAGCTGCGGAATGTCGGAAGGTAAATAAATTTTTTTGAGATCTTTAATAATGTCATCTAAAAAGTGTTGTTTTACGGGAAATATTTTTCCTGGTACTTCGACAATTGGACATTTTCCACTGGGAGAAAATTCTCCAAAATATTCTGAAAAAATACCAGTATCTATAGTGGCACTCATAAGAACCAATTTAACAAGTGGTTGATTATTCTTTTTCCTTTCTTGAAGAAGTTGCTTCAATATTACTAACATAAAATCGGTTTCCATATCTCTTTCATGAACTTCATCCACAATTATATGAGAAATTCCTTCCAATGAATCACGTCCACTTTTCACTTCTTGCATTCTTCGAAGAAATATACCAGTAGTACAATATAAAATACTTCCCGCAGGATTTGGTTTAACTACATCAAATCTAACGTTATAACCTATAGTTTGTCCTAATTTTTCTGCACGCTCTTGCGCAACACGTTGAGCTACAGATATGGCAGCTATTCTTCGTGGTTGCGTTACTATAATATTGCAATTTGCACCTTTATGTTCCATTATGGCTTTCTCAAATATAAGTTGAGGCAACTGGGTCGTTTTTCCACAACCAGTTGAACCAACGATAACCGTTACAGGATTATTTTTGACAGCATCTAATATCATACTGGAATAATGAGTAATAGGAAGTTGACTTCGATCATTCCTAATTTTTTGTGAAGATTTAGAAACTAGATATTTTTGAAAATCATCATATAATTTCTTAGATTTTTCATCGAGTTGTTTCGTTGTAAATTTTTCTTTACTTTTACTTGTGTTTAAATTAGGTTTGTTTTGAGTATTTTGTTTTAATTTTTTGCTTGACATAAAGTTATCTTCTTGGTTAAACATATTGGCATCACGCACATCTGATATCAATCTACCAAGGCAATGATAAGTCTCATCACTCATTTCAACATTCACTACCGGTGTTGGTCTTTCCTTAGTTCCTTTTTCACCTTTTCTAACCTGAAATTTCTCCCAAAGTCTAGGAGAATCTTTACGCAAATTAATGGCTGAAGATAAATATGCAATGTTTTGTGCCTCCTGTTTATTTGATCTTTTACCTTTACCGATGATTTCATTTTCAACGATAATTGAAGCGACCCATTGTTTCTCACTATTTAAACCAATACTTTTAAGTTCAATTCTAGGTTTTTTTAATTGACGAAGTTTACAGTAAAATTGTGTAAAATTCTTTGCTTGTTCCTCTGAAATGATACTCTCCAAATTTTCGGTTCCATGAATGGATTGATATTCTTCAGCATTTTTTTTAAAAAGTTCGGCTGCTTTATCTTCTGCTTCCTTTCTTGATTTTCCACGACCACGACCTACTAAATTTTGGTCAGGAAATTCAACCACGGATTCCCATGATTTATTACTTTCAGGTCCTGCGGCATAAATCCTAAAGTTAGGAATAAAATTGAACTGAGAACAATATTCTGTAACAAATTTCTTAGCGCTTTCTGCAGAACTCTTTTGTCGGCTCACATTTTTTGATTCTGTGATCACATCTTGTATTGCACCTTGAGCTTCAATCATATAGCAGGCGTTTAAAAAAGCTAATCTCTCGGCTTCTTTCTTTGTCGATGCATCACCGTGTGCTTCAATATTAATGCCTTTAATCTCAAATTTGACAGTTGATCGATGAATTGGATTATTGAGAGAACCAAAATTCTCTTTAACATGATCTTTCAAAATACCAGAAAGAAAAGATTTAGGATGTTGAATCCATGATTGATTCTCTTGTTTCGATTTGATTTCTTCTACTTTATATGTCGATCGTATGTATTCCAAATTATAAATCACGTCTGGCAAAGGTTTATCACTACCTTTTCCACGTTTACGTTTTTTTGAGGCATTAGTATTACTAACGGTTGTTTTAACACTGAGAATTGTTTTTTCTTTTGATTCTTTCTTTTCATTTTTAGATTTTTTATCGTTAGGGGTTTTTGCTTTTTTTGCTTTTTTAACTTTTTTATCACTGACGGTTTTTATTTCCGCGTTAATATTGAATACCTCATTATTTGATGATTCGGGCGGACTTTCTTTAGGAAGTTGGGTTTGAGCAAACTTAGTTGAATGTTTTGCAAATTTGGATTCACGAGTTCGCGTCCTCTTTTTAGAAACTATCATAACTTCATTACCACCATTACCGTGAATCTTTAAAGGTCGCTCATAAAGAGTTTGAACAAACCGTTTATGATTTCCAAAATTCGAATAACTTTCGACTGAATGAATTTCGCGCGTAAATCCATTAAAAGGTTTACATTGGTCAAGAAAATTAAAGTTATTATTATAACGAGCAATACAATTGTTACTTAATGTTTTTGAGATATAACCACCAATAGGCAAACGTTTGAAAGTTTTAAAATTGAACATATCTGATCTGTTTTATTAGTTTTATTATGATAAACTAATTGATTTTCATATAACATTAAAAAAAGTTAATCATTTCAGCTTCAATATTTTTAAAAAGAAAAAGAAAGAAGGTAAGGTTGATAAAAAAAAAAGTGAGATTTCCGAAAACTCGATACGAAAAAAAAGATGAGATAACGTGAAAATAAACCTGAAATTAAACTTGTTTGACATGACAGAAGTTCCTATTGATGATCACATTACACAAAATTTTATGAATCACACTAGTGGTTTTCAACACCAGTGATTATCAACCAATAAAAACGAAACACATGATTCAATAAATTGGCACATGATTTTTTCATTACTATAAATTCGTTAATACTATAAATGCGTTGTTAATCAGTTACATCTTTGCATATTGTAACCTTCGCTCTTACAGTTCTTCTTTACCTTTGAAAAATAAAAATTTTTGACTTGTCTTTCTCCTTTTACTAATCTTGAAGTTAATTTGCAGTGGTTTTCTCTTTCGATAGACACATTTGTGCATTGTGTCCTTTTTCATTACAAATACTGCACATTCTTTTATTGCTAGTTTTACCATTTGTTAGTTTGTTTGAACTATTATCTTGTAATATTTTTTGAAGATTTTTATGTGACAATTCTTCACAACTTCCATTACCAATATTATTTTTTTTGTTATTTTGATTGGATTTGGACATCTCTCTTTTTTTTCCTTTGCAATTTGCATTCATGTGATCAAAATCTTTATGCTTCTGGCCTTTTATCTTGATACTGATAGAATTGTTAGAAGTAAACTCAATAATATCATTGCCATTCTTAACTTGATTAACAATTTCAGCTTCCATTTTCTCAACTAACTTTAAATGAATTTCATAAAGCTCCTTCATTTTATCTATTGTGATAGTCAAATTAAAGGTTTTCTTTATAAAACTAAATCCTCTTCCATATTGTTACTTTTGAGATACTTCTTCACAAACCTCTTTAATAAAGACATAATTGTTTCAGATAGTATATCCAGAATTATATAGAGACATTCTAGTATGCTATATGAACAAAACATTTATAAATATCTTAGAACAGTGTGTTCTAGTATACTATATAAATGAAATATTCATAAAATATCCTAGAACTGTATATTTAGTATATTATATAAATGTTAGTACCATTCATAGAGCATTATATAATCGTGTTTATTAGTGTCATAGAATATTTTTAATTCCTGATGTATTTAGATTTGAAAAGTAGCATGCTCAATCATATTGAATTTCTGACTTAAAGTTACTGAAATAGTTGACTTATGATAAAAACTTAAATTGAAATCTATAACTAATAAATTGGTATATTAATATTATAGCAAAAGTCCAATATGAAATTTAACAGTATTACAGAATAAAACTATCATAATAAAATATAGTACCTCTTCTTGAAATTGCACTAGTAAAATTATTAAAAAATCTTATTTTAATTTTTAATTATATTTATAATGATCTTTTACTACATTAGTTACATATCACATGATTTGATGACTATGAATTGCAGATATTGCAGATGCTGTGTCTTACTGACCACTTGCAAAATTATCATATAAACTTAATTGACCATTACATAACAAAGTCAAATTGTCACCACTGTCTTGCTAACTAGGAAACTTAGCAAAGACCAAAAAAATATCCAAAGTAGAAGTTTTGTTCTATTTTATTCTTTTTGAATTTTTAGATCTTTAAATTATACTGTAATCAATAAATCTAAATTATTTATATGTATAGAATAGATCTCAGCATGTATATAAAGAGCTTAATTTTTCTTTTTAGATCAAAAGACAAGAAGTTTTAAACTTTATATTTTTATACTTTTAGCATATTAGTTAGTGAACATTTTCAGGTTATATCAATTTTCATATTAAAATATTTTTGTATAACAGATAATCTAAAATACACTCTTAAGCTACCAATTAAAAGTTATTAACTATCTTTTCTTCTTTAATATTTTAAGTTTATATATCTTTCTTTTGTAAAAAATAGTACAAAAGTTTTTCTAGTTATATTCTAATTCAAATTTTATTATATTAAAACTTCATTATATTTTTTGAAACATAAAGTTAAGATTCTTGTATATTAGATTTTATTCATAACAAAAAAAGTACTCAACTTACTTTAAAATTAGTATATTTTTATTTGTATTTACTTTTTTAAATTTACATATATAATTTTTTTTAATAAAATTTTTATTAATAAAATATAAATTTTAAAGAAAATAAAGAACTAAGATTTTATTTATTTCTATTACATCTATGACAAAATACATATTGCATTATTTTATTTTTGTCCTATTTACTTATCAATAATTTCTTAACTTGATTAATTTAATTATTGATTAGGTTTAATGTATTATTAACTAATGTTTCTAAAATTTTTTTTTTTTTAGGTTTAGTTTCATATCAAGTTTATCATGTTTTTTTTTTGAAAACTTATCTTGGTCATTAATATTATCTTGTGTTGTAGTTTCTACATTAATTTGTATTTGTTCAACAATAATCTAATTTGAATTTTCTACAATATAATTTTGAAAATTTAATTGTATTGATAAATTTTTTTTCTTTAATTGTTGTTCACTAAGTTTCTATTATATGATTCCTAATTTTTTTCTTTTAACTTTATTACTCTTTTGTATTGAAATAACATCTTGTAAAAATATATTTTTTATTCTTAAAAATCTATCAGGAATGCAATTATGTAAATGTAAAACAGAAGCTATTGTAAATTGATCAGGTGAAGTAGTATTCCATAATAGATTATGGTAATAATTATATTTATCAAAGTATTGAAATACTAACAAAAGTTCATGCACCAGGTTTTACATAATCACCTTTTAGACATTTATCTCTTAAACCATCCATTTTAGTAGATAAATTTATATGTTAAAATAATTAAAGGTAAATTGAACTTAGAGAAGAATTTTCTTATTAAAAACTTTATTTTAATTAGTTAAAATGATTTCTAAGAGCCTGAATCACATGATATAATTTCCAGTCGCAGTATCACATATAACATATATTATAAAAAAATAACTTGACTTTATCATTTAATAAATCAATATTAATTTAACAAAATTTAAACTTTTATTTTTTATTCTTATGAAATTATAAATAAATTATCTAATTAATTATTAATTTATTAAAATATATAATTTAAGATTTAAACTATTAAAAAAAATTATTTTTTAATTAATAAAAAAAATTAAAAAATACCATTATCACATTTTCATAATGATATAATACAAAAAAAAATAAATTTGTATTTATTTATTGATATAGAATTGTAAAAAAAATTTCTGATATTATTGTAGTGAAAATAATATAATTATATTATTTCCACTTAACTTAGGTTATTTCCACTTAGGGATGACAATAAGATCACATGCATGTTGTCACTGAAATGATGATAAATTTACATTTGTATTGTTAGACTTGGATACCTATGGTATATAAAAAAATGTGATGACCGATTTACATTTGTATTGTCATCTGGTTATATATTGAATTAATGATCTGATAGATTTTTGTCATTGATCTATATGTGATATATTATATATTTCTGATCAATTTCAAGTATAAGACACTTTCTGATATAGGTTATGACAGGCCAGTTAGTCTTATCATGTATTTGATAATCTAAATGCAATTATATTATCAGTAGTGTTAGAAATTATAAATACAAAATCACGATTAATCAACTATCAACTATATAGTCAAGTATAAATGTTAATGGATGATTAATTACAATTAATTGATGATTATAAAAATCGTGATTAATTGTAAATAATTGTGATTAATCATTATATTTTTCTTTTATAATATTATAATTATATAATCAATATATTATATAATTATAATATTATAATTATAATATTTCAAATCTTATTCTTTTTTTATAATTATAATATTATAATTATATAATATTATAATTATATTATTTTTTTCAAATTTTTTCAAATAAAAATGTTAATCTTTTTTTTTATAAATTTCTTCTAGTTAACATAAGCAAACCAATATACATTGCAAATTTGAAAGTTTTAAGACAAAACTGTCAATATTGGCAATAGTGTGTTACGTCTGCTGGAAGCTCAAATCCGTAATCGATTTGAGGTTAGACTTGCAAAAAACGTTTTTGACCATACTTGAATGAGACGTGATTTATATTTTAGATCACATTTTTGACATAATTTGGTTAGATTTTTTTATACTACTCTGCTTACTGTTAAAAAAACAATGAGAAATGGTGAAGGTTATGAATGTAATGAATATCTTGATCCCTTCTCAGACATGCTAGCAAGTTAAAATACATATCATTTCATTAAATCTAACCAAAGTCTAACTGAAAATTTAATATATTGATGGAGGGAATTAAGACAGAAAAAATTATAATGCTAGATATATATTAAATCTTTATAGAACATAATTTTCATATACAAGCTAAATCTAATAAAAAAAATTTTGTATATTGCTAAGTCTAACTGAAATTATATAACAAAATAAAGCTTTAAAGCATTTTCCAAAAAAAATTGTCCTTGGTATTTAGCGCTCTAGATTAAATTTCTGATATGTGAATTTTATAGTAAAATTAAATCTAACCTCTTGAAATCAAAATTGTCCTGGGTATTTAATACTTTAGAGTAAGTTCCTGATATGTGAATTTATAGCAAAATTAAATCTAACCTCTTGATAACAAAATTGTCTTCGGTATTTAACTTTTTTCCTCTTTGTCTCTCAGAAAAAAGATATATATGTTTTCAGTATATGTTATCTATTTTTTTTTTGGCTTCAAGCAGTTACTGTAAGAAGATAGGATTAAGTTCCTGATATATAATAAGTATAACGAAACTGTCTTAAGAATTTTCAAAGACCTTAACACATAATCTTTGATAGTATTGAGCCACATAGTATCCTCTAGTATACAAAAGGCAACGTCCAGAAGATGAACCAGTTGACTTATCACATTTAC